CTCCATGGAGAAGTCTATTCATACTCCAGGCGTGGCCATGAACTAGGTATCTTGGAAAACGTTGGGGAGTTTGATTATATGCAAAGGCTCTTCTCCATGTGTGCTTTTTTTTTTCCCACACCACACTTTTTTTTTTTTTTCGCATCCAATTTGCACAGGAGTCGATCGCGGCCAACGTTGCACATGCAGCAGGTGAGTGGTTGTTGGTCCGACCATCACGAACCAGAAGCAATAACAACAATAACAACAACAACAACAACAACAACAACAACAACAACAACAACAACAGCGGCCTTCCGAAAGGTGGAGGTGTTGCCGTCGCTTTTGGACTGGCACGATATCGCGATACCCACATCATGTATGTATGTTATCGATATGTACCAACGATACTGACCGTTACCAACCAACAGCTGCAATAGCATCCGAACGCAGTATCATCTGCCTTGCACAGCTACGTCGTCGACGTCGTTGTTGCGGGCCTGCCTGGTTCACTGGCTAGCGCTGTGGTGGGGGGGTATACATAGGCCGGGCAGCACAGCGCACGCGTATTCACGGGAACCGCCACATCTTATTTTTGGCGACCTCTGGGCTTTCGTAACCTAGATCTCGACGAAAAACGTGCTGCGGCAGTTTCAGGTCGCCAATTGGGTCCCGACGGTGGACGGGGGTAGCCGCGGGGGGGGGGTTTTTTCGAGGATCCCCGCGCTCTTGACCCCTCCGGATCCCCCTCTCACTCCTGCGGCTGGCGGGCACGGGGACGGGCTAAGAATGGTCCAGCGCCGGTGGCTCATGCACATGAGCAGATTTCTTCTCCTTCCTTCGTTAGGGTTAGAGAAGCATAGTCAATTCTTGGAGTATTCGCGTCGTTCGCTCGTGGGGATCGTGGATCTAAGGTAAGGCAGGCATAAGCAGCAGCAGCACTGCATCATCATCATCATCATCATCACCATCTACCTATATCTCCGCTCTCTACCTTCATTCACAGAGCCATTTGCGTCTCTACTGTATTATTCTCCATCCATCTATATATCTCGTGCGACAAGCAAGCAAACACCCCAGAGCTTCACACGCAGCAGCGGCATAGTAACACCGCGCTGCTGCTCTATTGCTCGACGCCCCCCCCCCCGCCCAGTGCCACCAACCGCTGCCCCTTCAAATTCCGCCCACAGCTCTTTTCTGCCCTGTGTAACGCCACATTGCTGCCTTGGTCCGCCTCCGCTGCGTGTGAGTCCCCCGTCGATGCGATGAGAGATTTCCCCCCCCCCCAAATCCCATCAATATCGCTGGCACTCTCCACATTTGTCCTTTCTCATGATCACCCCGTCTGCCCTTCGCATTCTCTTGAACTCTTGACTCTGGATCTTGGCGCTGGCTTCGTTGCTGACCTCTCTGGCCCGTAGAGCCAGCTTTCTACCTAGAACAACGGCACCCCCGAACTCGTTTTTGTCCGACGCTGCACTAATAAACTAAACGTTACTCCTGCCCCCCCCCCTCCCACAAAAAGAAAAGCACCCCCCCCGTACCAAGTGCGTCCGCCGAATACCTATACTACCCTAACGGCCAGTCTTGATCGTCTGCCTTTCCAACTCACCTTCCACTCCACCCACCCAACTCTCCTACTCAACTCCTCACCTCGTCCAGGCCCACTTCTCCCTCGACACACCGACCCACACCCCCATAGGTAGTCTGCCCGGCTGCACTTTCGACACATTCCTACCTTCTTGGCCGGTCTTTCCCTCCTTACATCGAGCATTGTCTTTCTGGGGAACCCTCCACCCCCCCCCCCCCCAGCACCTCCATTTTACTGCTCGCTCTTTCGAAAATCGCCAAAGCTACTCGTGCTGGACTCGCGATTTTTTTCACGGCCTCCCTCTGTCCACGTTTCCCTCGCTCCCGCGTCCTCGAAGCTTGGTTGCCGATCCGCGGATTGGTCACGGATCTCGCCAACGTTACCGTCAACCGTGAACTTACGTTGCTTTACCTTTCGATTCGTTCCGCCCTTTTGTCGCTCTTTTAGTTCGACTCAGCCGCGTCGCAGCTATCCCCCATGATGGCCTCCAGTAACCCCACGCCGTGGGAAGCGCGCAGGCCTTCTATGGGGCCCTCCGGTCAGACCCTTCCACCCATCGGGAACCTCGCGGGAATCAATGGTTCAGCGCCCACATCCGACCCCCGGGATTCGGGGAACTGGTCATTAACATCCTCGCAAAGAACGAGCAACAGTAAGCCTCATTTCATTTCCCTGTTTTCTCCTGCTACGCGAAAGGGCACCCGTGCCGTGTCTTGCGCGAGCAGATCGGCAGCTTATCGCTGAAACAGTCTCTGAAGTCACATTACCACCGATCGAAGCCCATGCGCGAAGTAGCCCCGGCGAACAGCCCAACGGGAACTCCCTGTATTCGCAAGCCTCACCTATGTCCTCTGGCTTCGGAGCGTCCACGACAAGCCTCCACAGCACACACACCACGCCACCCGCAGGCCACCACTACCCTACGCATAATGGCGAGCTTCCCACCCCTTCACCATCAGCTTCTCGACGAAGCAGCTTCGACAGTAGATTAGGACAGCTGGCGTTGTCCTCGCCAGTAAATGGAACCCCAGCGGCGAGTCATGTGAGCCTGAGCAGCACGTTGCTCAACAGTAGCAACACTAGGGATAGTTTGGCATCTCAGATGCAACGGGAGCGGGGAATTCAGAGCAATTCACCGTCACAGCACCACAACCATGATTCCGGCCAGCAGCCCACACACAACCCATTCATGCATTCAAATAACAGATCTAGTGTACCAGCTCGCACAGCACCTCCGATAGTCGGCTCGCAAAGATATCCATATAACCAGACATCGCATCCCAACGCTCCTTCTCCCACCAAGGGTCTGCCCTGGGCCTTCCCTGACCCTTCAATATCAATCGAGCCAACCTCAGGGAATGATACTCCAAATCCACGAACGAGTACGAGCTCTCTTGCGGGGTCTACTGCGAGCAGCATGTATGGACACAGCCAACACCAGATGCCGCCTATTATCGGTATGAACGGGCACATGAGTGGTACGACACTACCGCAGATCGGCCAGGCAACTCATCATCACAGCCTGACCGCGCGGCGATCAAGTATGATCTCGGAGGTGCAACAAACAAACACACCATACTCGCGCACGCCAGAGCTGCGGGTAAGCCACAAGCTCGCGGAACGGAAACGGAGAAAAGAGATGAAAGACCTATTCGACGAGCTACGGGACACGCTACCGGCCGAGCGCGGTGGAAAGAGCAGCAAGTGGGAGGTGCTCACCAAAGGTACGGAATGTTGCAATCTCAACGCCTTACCCACCGCCCGACTAACGGCCGCAGCAATCGAATTCATCAACTCGCAAAAAGAGGTGATCATGGACAAGAGTCGGCAGGTGGAGGATATGCGGAATCAACTGCAACAGCAAAATAAAGAGCTCGAAGCGCTACGAGCCGAGGCACACCAAGTGCGGCTACAGCAGCAGCAACAATGTGGACCACCCAGCTACCACCCGCATCCGTCACAACACGGTCACGACGGCACTTATCACCCGCAGCAGCCAAACGGCAATGACGGAGGTTACCACCCTCAGTCAAGTCACAGCAACGGACCCGTCAAGATGCAGGGTCTGGAGCAGTGTTAATCTGCGTCGGGTAGATCATATATGCATGCCAGAACCGGGAGGTCGGTGGTCGGTAGAAAGCCTCTTGGAGCCGACGGGAAGGGATTTTTGTGCTCCTTCGACCTTCCCTCTGCGCTGGATATTTTTTTTTACCTTTTGCCGGCCACCGTCTCTAAGGCTATGGGTTCCTTTTCTTTCACATCTTCCGTCTGGCTATTATTACTCTCCTTTATCCTTTACTTTTTCCTTTTAGAGGCCGATCAAATGCTTTCTGGAGTTTGTCGTTTTTGGGTGAGGGGACCGAATATTCCGGTTTACATGGAACAATATTGGCTGCCGGCCTGGCTTTTCTTTTCTTACTTCTACCATACTTTATTCCTCGAGGGCAGGAAGCTCTCGGTTTTTTTTTTGTTGATCCTTCGGCTGGAGCTCCTCGCCGAGAGGGCTGCAGCGTGTATCAGGGATTATAGCGGCCACTCTATTCGAGACAGTCCGGCTTATATCGGACGCTGGGGTCAGGAGGTTATTTGTTGACTGTTTTCGGTTTGCCTTTTGTGACGGACCATCGGGAACTGGATTACTGCGGCTGGGATAATCTTTATTCCGAATTTTTCTTTGGTTCGATGGAGGAACGGAATTGGGATTACCGGTCTGTCTGGCGCGTGTTATTTTCTTTTGGAATTTTTTGTGGGTTTTTGCACTGCTTTGCTTTTATTTCTCCTGACGTCGATGGTTGATTCTGTGCGCTGGAAGTGGGGAAATGGCTCATGTGCTTCAATTGGTTTGTTTTTTATTGCAGAAAAGATTTCATTGCGTGATTTTTTCCTTTTGGGATCGGGATCTCCTTCGAGGAATGTGGAGGCGGGCTTTCTTTCGCTTTTTCTGTTTCTCTTTTGGCACTACATTTGCTGCTTGTCCAAGGAATGGATCGATTTTTTCGGTTTTCGTTTTTTGGTTTGGGCTTGGGGGAAATTGTTTTCTTTTCTTTTTTTTCTTCCCCCCCCGCCCCCCTTTCTTTGAGTCCACGGACGGGAGAGTGCTGTATTAGTAAACGTAGCAGTGAAAGTGAAGTGGAAGTTATGCTTCTTCACCATCATTCATCATCATCGTCATCATCTGCACGCACAGCCTTGCTATGTATGTAAGTATGATCGCCTCGTGATGCTGTGCTGCGGCCACGTTTTTTAGGTGGTGTGTGTGCGGTGTGTGGGAGGGGGATACACGTGGCTCACAGCGCGCGCGGCGGAAACGTGCGCGGCGCGAAACGTGGCTGGCGGTCGGTTGGGTGGTTGAAACACGTGCTTGGTTTGGAGGGCAGGGGTGTGAGGGTTGCTGGTACATAGAGGTCTGCAAGGGGATTGATGTCTGACAGTTGTTCTGGCCGAATGGTCTAAGGTGCTAGCCCCGGCTGCTAGTGGGGCAACCTGCGCAGGTTCGAAATCTGCGGACTTCATACCTTTTTTTTTTTTTTTTTTTTTTTCCCTTTTCTCTCGGTGCTTTTATCCGGTCTTGAACAATGCGGAGTTGCGGAACGCCCGCGATGAAAAGTTCCGGATTCGCGGAAAGGAAAGATATATCTGGACCGCTACTGGTGATTCGTCGCAGCCAGACAGACGGGCCCCGTGAGCACTTGGTCAATATGTACTGACGGTACTGACTGCCAGCTGTTGCCGAACAAATTGCGAGATCGAGGCTCGACTGGGTGGGCTGGAACCTAGATCCATCGGTCAGGCCAGCGGTTGGTAGCAACGCATCGGGCGAGTTGGCTTTGAGATAACCGGTCACGGTCGGTCACTCGCTTTTGTTTGAGGGGCGGTAGACGAGCTGAGGGCCAGGTTTGGCCAACCTTGGTTTTGGAGACGAGGGAGCTATGACCTCTGACTTCTAGAAAACCATTGTTTTTTCAACAATTTGGATTCACCACCCCTGAAATTTCCGTGGTTTTGTTGTAGAAACAATACCACGGCCAAACGACATTTTGGAAGAGTGTTGTTTTAGCAGCCAAGCACAGGGCAGTTGGCGATGTTTACGGTTATCCCCGGAAGATGGTTAGTTGGAGATATGGGGCTTGGATCTTATGGTTGGCCGTGGCCGCCACCATATCGCAATTCCAGCCGACGACCTGGCCTATTGTTACTGCAATAGCTGTAAAGCTTTTACCACCATCACCACCACCGGTGATTCCGTTGCTGAACGCTGCTGCAAAGTCTACAAGTTAGCTTGTTCGTGGTTTCGCGAGTTTGTATACTTGGGGCATATGGGCATGCTTTCGTGACCCGTCAAGTAGCTTTGGTGCAGCACCCCCCCCCCCCCCCTTCTATGGTGCAGGCAGCTGTAAACCTCGTCGTCGCACGTCACCGGTTGGTGGAGATGGGTGGAGATGGACGACCATAATGAACGCAGTTATCCCCGCGTGCGAACTTTGAGCAGACACCACGTTTCTCGACCAAACAAGATGCGCTCTATAATTCTACGTGGTGCAGCCCCACCGGTTTAACACCGTTGTACTCTGGCTATGGGGTCGCAACTACGGACTGTAACAAGTTTGGACCAGCTGAATGGCACGGCCCCGCAGCCATGGCCGGCTGCCAACGCTACCACCTGCCAATATCTTGGGGGTGAACTTGGTCCGAGCACTGAGGTTCTTTCGTCATGGCTTTGATCCATAATGCCTGCTGCTCCCAACTTCGTACACCACTGGTACAACGACCCTCCAGCAACAGCAACTTGAGCATAATGGGCAGGCCGAGCAAAAGAAAGGTACAATCAAGACAAGCGGGCGCCATCAGTGCATCTCGGACTCGGAAACGCAGTGGTCTCGGCAATGCCGAGTCTCTCGGCGGCGGTGAATCTCTCGGCGCAGCCTGACTTTAAAGGTCAGCGCAGTCCGATTGAGGAGATTGTCGAGGATGCCGGACAGTATTGTTCTATACTAAGCGCCACTGCGAACTTGACTAGATTGAAGATTGCTAGGGCGCATGCAAGCACTACGCCCGGAAGCACTGCAACTACACTCTGCCCGGTATTTAACCCTTCCTCAATAAGGGGTGCAACAGTAGCTAACAGCCATCAGGCAGTCCCTAAAGCTTTGGAGTCTTCGAAGCCATCGCTCATTTTCAAGTACTAGCGACGAACTCAGCGTATTATCCAGGCATATAGGCAAGGCGCCACCTTTAGAGACAACGAGTACAGAGCGCGGGTCTATACCAGTCACCGGCGGGTCCCACATCGAGAGCCAGGCGCAGATGGGCAATGAATTGATTATTGGGGTCACGGTTCAGGCGCATATGGCGCGGTCCACCAGGCCCCAGCATTCGTTCTGAACTTTGGTCCCCACCACTTCGTACCCTTTGACCACCATCTACACCGTGTCCACTGCTTAGTTTCCGACGAAAACATCCGCGCGACAACCAGGTCTATATCTGCCTGCACCATAGCTCTCTTTGTACATCCGTTTTACCTACAGCAATAGTTTCATCCCACACCCTTGTAATTCTCGCCTGTTCGAAGGAGAAGGAGGAGTGTCTGGCCTGTTTTCGTCAAGTATTTCTCCGAGGACAGCCAGTGCAACCTTCGCACATTCAGCTACATCGATCTGAATCCTTTCGTCGACGAAGGAACATTGCTGTATGGAGTGGAAGGAATGGGACCGGAACGTGTCGGTGTCTGGCCCAGCTGGGAGCGGGACAACAGAGAGCCATTCTACCAGTCCGTCCACCCAAGGGACTTGAAAACTGAAGTCGTTCGATGGCTCACTGCACGTGGGCCGGCGATCGTCAGCCTCGGCTTCTGCGGCCATGGGCCTTCCACAAGCGGCGCTCTGCACATGGGCATCACAGACCAAGTAGCACCCTTTCTTCATCCGTCCAAAGTGGTCTCCATCATCGGAGATTACTCCCACAGTACCACCTTCACCGTGCATCTTCTTTCCTGCTACAGCGGTGTATGGGTCGACACCCTCGCTTCATCGAGGCTGCCCGGCACAGCGCATGCGGCATCGCCGAAACCGCCTCCTCGTTCAAGTCAGGATCCGGCAAAGTATAGAAGCAGTCTATTTGGATCCGCCATCCTTGCATCGATGCGGGAAGGTGGTTCTGTTGGTGAGCATGAAGGGAGAGTACAAGATTTCATGCGCGCAGTGAAAGCTAAGGTCGAACATACCCCGAGACTCGGTATTTCACCGGCCGAGAGATACAACCATTCGATCCGAGACGCAATCCACGCTCCTCTCACCAGCTTTATCCACTTATGGTACATCGCAAAAGACGCATATCGGCGTATCACCGATACTGAGACTCCTGCCCCTCCTCTTCCCTCATTATACTCCACTTCGCCCTCTTACGCAGAGATGAAGGCGGTGATCGAAAACGCTGGGATTCTGGTACAGCAGGAAACCGGAATGTACGCCGGGGTGAGAAAGCTCCTCGACGGCCACTTGTCCGCGGCCGACGCAGCCAATTTGGAGCCGATTCTGAACAAGCGAAGAAAACTCCAGTATATGGTCGTAAAGTTGGCGGCGAGTCTAGCCCCGGAATTGGCACCTGAATGAAGATATCTTCAACTACATGGGCTACATGGACACCAGCTCTCGCACAGAGCCGCGATCTTATTCTTGAAGTTCTGCCTGAGCTTGTGAAGATGGAGTATACCGGCAACATCATGCGGCTTAGAGTTCCATGTTTGTGGCTTGCACTGGTCTTTGGGCTTGCTGCTTCGCAAGGGTCTTTGACTCCGATGGATCTTGTTCAATGCGCGATGCAGTGCAACATGGGCAACATTACTGTCGGTACCGCCATTCAGAAACAGTCGGTCCAATGCATTTCCTTTCATTATCTTTTAAGCAGAACTGACGCTGTTTACCAGATTCGTCCCTATCAATCCCATCCAGTCCACATGCAAGCTCGGTATATTTGACTGGCACCTCTCCATTACCGCTGAAGAGCTCAATCGGTTTATGGAAGGCCCTTCCGGGCCAAGTTTGCTCAAACTACTTCCTGCTGCGCCTGATTTAGGTGCTGAAAACGACTTGTCGGATCAGTAACCCGTTGCCGATGGAACTGAAAGGGCCACCCAGTCCGCGCATGATTTACGGCATCTTTGTCTTGTAGGCGCCGTATAGCATAATAAAAGCCGTCCAAGTTCGTATGCACCTTCTTTGGAGATAGGCGGATTGACCTGTATTCGCCCGCTTGTTCTCCACCCAGTCCACAGCATCCCTCCAGTAACTACGCCTTGCTGCATTGCTGAAGGGCTCAACTAGTGGAGTCTATTTCTGGCTGCTGTTTTTCGATGCGATCATGCGATCGTTCCTCCTCCTTCGAGACGTCACTTTGCGTTCTACCTGCAAATCATTTCTACGGAGTGATGGCTAGAGGATTGTTTACTTCTTGGGTTCCTTCTTGGCACTGGATAGGCTGTTCCGAGCCACTTTTTTTTTTTTTCGAATTCTCGGTTCGTGGGGTGTAGGTTTTGAAGCTGCAGGCACCGGGGTTTCGCTTGTTGCTTAGAGCTATGTACTTTAGCCAGGCCAGACCACTTGCCTGAATGTTCCACCTCCGCACGATCACGGCCACACTCGTTGGCCGTCTGTTGCGTATTTTGTACCCCCTCCTCTGGCGCGTTGTCGCGTTCTGCCCAAGCGTGGCTGGTACATCAATTGGTATAGCTATAGGTGAAGTAGTCAAGGAAGATAGAGACATACTTGCTCTTGCGACTCTTCAAGACCTCTAGCAACGCAGTTGTGTTGATGGCTTCACCGGAGATCACTCGTTTGGCTGCGCCATTCAGCCCACACCTGGTTAGACGACAAGTCGAAGCGCTGGATTTTGTCCTGTACAGCCGCAGAAAGCTGGGGCCAGTTAGCAATCGCCATGACATCCAGCCATCCACTGCTTGGAGGCTGGCTGGCCCTGCAAGTCAGCCGAGCGTGAAAAATTGTTGTCGTCGTTCGAGAGGCGTGTACCCCAACCAGTAGCTTTACCTAACGCTGGGGCGGGCTATGGCTGCGACCGGAGACAGGCGGTTGGACACCGCTCTGAACAAGGCCTGGCAAGACCGAACAATGCTATACAATAAGCCTTGAGACAAACCAGCGTTTCCCCCCGGGGCTAGCTGCTTTTTCACCGCCCGCCCTCTCCTCGCATACTTCCAGCTGAGGCTCCAGAAGGCTCCGACTGCCCCCTACCTTTTCAAGACCGGTCGCCGCGAGGACGACAAATGCTGGTTCTGCGCTTCCAGACCAACCCAGTCCAGAAACCACTTGTTCGAAACATTGTCGGAGATGGCGTAGAGAGCAAATAGTGTTGTGGAAAAGCGGTTGCAGAAGCGACACGAGCGTTGGAATGTGGCCGGCTACGGCCTGAATCCGTCTCCTTTGTCCTTTCCATTATTCTACAAATCACGAATCTCCTTGGTGCCACCATATACGATTTCCTTAGTCTATTTCCTCAGTTT